GACCTGAAGGCCTTTGTGTTTAATGAATCCAGACTTTTCCTTGTCTGCTTCATCAAAGCGCTTTTCTCAAATCCAGAGCCATTGTAGTTAGCTATAGACTACCTGAGGCAACAATTCACAGCTCTTTATAGTTACCAGGGAATTTCATTAACTCTGATGACATATAAAGCAGGATATGATATTGAAATTGAGCCTGTAGGACAAATCTCATTCTATCTGCAATATTATAACTATAATACTAGGCAGTGCCAGTCCTTAACTTAAAGCTATTCATGACCATATACTCATGATAATTCTTGCCAAGCTCTATTTGTCATCATAAGTTAAGTATATTTTTAATATTAGTTAAGCCTATGTGCAAAGGAAGTAATCAATGTACATGCATAATGACTATCATTAGTGCTCACACGTGATAAGAATGATTATATCAATGCTACTGCTTCATTTCTTCCTACAAAACTCTAGACAGTGATGACATTCAGTCACTATTAAATTAGGTTGTGGTATTAAAGACTCATAAGTTATGATTATGTGCCAATATCAACAGTCTAGGACATAGACTTATTACCACCATATGACCTCTCAATTTCTGTAATGACGAATAAATAAATAAATTGATGGTCCTAAATAAACAATAACAAAATACAGTATCCTTACAATAAACTAATTATTGAGCTTGTTTTATTGATTGGTGGTAGGATATCCTCTACTTTATAGGGATGCTCATGCATATTATGATTACTATATATTCCTTTGAGGTTAGATTTACTAAGCCTAATGATCAAAATCAGCTCAGACTTTTTACACACAGCATAAAAGCATGTATATTTATCAGGAATGTAATAGAAATATACAATTCTGTCCAAGCCACTTTAAAGGGTGAAGAAAGCCCTGAAAGACACTATACTGAATTGAACACAGATTTTCATAGATTATTCATTGTCCATCAGAACCATTAGACACAAGATATGTCTCCATAAAAGCATCATGCCCAAAGCATGAGATGAGTTGTGACTATTTCTGATGACATAAAAAGTTTCATCAAAGTTCCCCCTCTCTCTCGCTAAAGCTAGCTAGACTAGTATAACTGTTATTGACTGACACTGTATCGATTGAAATGGTAGGGCCTGTTTGCTGTTGTTCCGAATGTTCACACTAGTATTGATACTAATGTATCCAAGACAAAATATCTGTAGCACCATAAATATTAGATTACTTTAGCAAGAGTACATAATACCAAGAGTAGATCTACTCTTGATAATACTTAGGCTGTATTTAGATATAGACATGCACAGTGTCCTCATTGCTCTGCTTAGCTAGCTTATTGGAGGTGTGGCTCACTTGCATAGAAAATGGCTACATCATCAGAATCATCAAAGAAAGAAGAGACTGTTGGTTTATTATTCGACCTAGCCACCAAACAGAGAGAGCATTGTCAGCTTCTACTCAATGGAGAAGCTAAAAGTACATGCCTTATTATTACTATCTATTTACAATATTTTTAATGCTTCACTGTAGGTTCTCCTCATAAAGAGTGTCTTCAGAAAGCAGTAATGTCTATTGATATATGCACTGGACTCTTAGAAATGAAAGAATCAGTTAACAAGGCCAAAGCTTATCAACAAGCTCTCCAAAAGTATGTGCAGGTAAACAACGCTCCCTTTAAGCCCAACATACACTACATTCAACAATGTTGCTTTCAGCCTTTGATCATGCTTTGATGTGGTCAAGCAACATGTTGCCTTGAATAGAAAGCCTTTCTATTCCTTATAACAAGGTTAAAAGAAAGATCAAAGCCTGGAAACATGTTGCCTGTAGTGTATGTTGGGCTTTAGTAGCTCACTATCAACAATCTCAATCTACATCAGTGCATTTTTATGCATGGCAAAACTCATTATTCCAGATTCATTACCTTAAGCCTACTATTTTTAGTGTCTACTAAATTTAGCTATATTAGCGAGAGAGCTTTATACCATTAAATTAAATAGACGCCAAAATAATTATAATGGTTATTATTTATAGTTAATTTGGTTAAAAACGCTAAAATTAGTAACGCTAAACATGACTTTTGCTGATTTCGCTAAAATTAGTAGACGCAAATAATAGTAGGCTTAAAGTATGTCAAAATTATATTACATGTATGTATTGCATTGTATTAATGTAGTCAATACTTGATTCAACTTATTATCAAGAGTGTGTTCTGGTTGATTATGATTTCCCTCAAGTAACTGTCAAGGAAGATATCAATGCTTTATTAAGTTAGTGTACTTTAATGAATGTTCTCAGTATAATGTTTTGTATAGATCAATTTGCAACTTTTATGAAGTTATGTGGGAGTACTCAGTCACAGGTACTGTCAGCACTCATTGCACTATAAGTAATACATTTTTGGTGTGTTTGTATAACAATGCAAGTACACTGTAGTACAGTGGAACCTGCTAAAAATTAATAAACTCAGCAATAATTAATAATGGGTGTGGTTCCCGGTTGTCCAGCCATAGCAAGGTTCTACCAATTTTGGAGGGAATTAAATTTGGCAAATTTGGCGTTTTGATAGCCATTTGCCAAAATAAAACAACAATTTTGAGCCATTATGTGCATGCTCAATGGCACGTGGCCACCAATTTGCCAAATTAAAATCCGCCAATCACCAAAATTTAGCAATTCGCCAAATTTTAGTCTCTCCAAAATTTTCCGCTATATGATATTAGACCAAAGGGGACTTGGACAAGCAGCCGCTTTACGCATTACACGGGGATGTCAATAGCTAATCCTTTTGTACAGGTCTTGATCTGGATTTTGGCTTATGGCTGTAACAGAGAGGTGACCTCACTATTCAGGTGACCGTTAGCACAGGTTCCACTGTATAAAAAACTTGATAATAATCATGATGCTGCATAATTAATTTTTGGATAGATTTTTGTTAAGATATCATCTCATTTGTAGTTAATAAGTATTCTTGGTGAGGATATAATGGAGTGTATCCATTGGAGGGTTGGTGCCTTGATGTACATGTTAGCAAACACTATTATGAATATGGAGACTAGGAGAGAAACTGTTGATAAGAATTGGCTCAGAGAAGTAAGGCCTTATATCAAGTTAGGCAGTTTAATTTTTAAATGTCATAGTCATGGCCAGAGCTACAAAAATTTAAAGTGGTTCATCCAAAATTTTGAATTCACCAAATAATAATTTAACAATATCAAAAAATTAAAAAAGAGAAAGAATGCAGCATAATCGTAACAAAGTTCAAAATTTACAGCTATAGGAAGCTACAGTCTACGGTCTTGTAGTCTGCAGACTGTATAGCTACCTACTTAAATTTATTAATAAACATTAATTAATCAAGACGGCCATACCTATAAATTTTTTGCATGAAAAAGTGATACAGTCAAAACCTTACTGGCCATACCAGTGGCTCCGGCGATGGTCATTGTAGTCGTAATTTTTGTTTGTTTAATTTTTGAATTAAAATAATTGTTTCTTTATTCCTTTAATCATGTGCAGTGCTGTTATGTTGGTGTGCTTCACTTGATGATGGTATTTGAGGTTAGGACTCCTCTCACTGCATCAACTGATGAATACACTACTAATGATCAGAGAATAGTGGAGCTATTAAGTCAAGGTAATTATTGTTCATAAATGTTAATTTTATGATTGAAATTCCAAATTTTACATAGCATAAGTATATCAATGTGTATAAAAAATGAGATAAAAAATTGAGCGTCATTTTTTGGAAATAAGCATGGGCTATAGCCTTTGCTCTTTTTCAAAAATTGGTTAATTTTTTTCAATTAGCTCATAACTTAAAAATTATGTATCGGAAACAGCTCAAACTTTCTACTACATAGCATAAATACATCAATATGTATTGGAAAATGTAATAAAATTTGTGGTAATTTTGGAGCCATTAATTTTAAAATTTTTAATTAAACCTTATGGCCAAGTTCTATGGCAAGCAAGGAGTAACATTACAGCGTACACAGTTACCATTACTACCTTGCTGGACAGCTACTATGCATAAGGTTCAGGGTCTATCTCTTGATGCTGCTGTAATTGATCTAGGTCCTAAAATGTTTGAAGATGGAATGGCATACGTTGCCTTAAGTAGAGTAAGAACGCTCCAAGAAGTTGCTCTACTAGGACTAGTGGAAAAGAAAATCACATCATCAACAGTAGCAAATGATGAACTGGATAGATTAAGGAACCATAGATTATAAATGATGATGTGTCTTCTGGGATAGTCAGAGATAATACTAATACACATTAAAACCACAAAAATTTTGTGGTCTATATTATAGTATAACACACAACTCTTGACTCTATTCGTAATAATGGAATGGAGATTGGGGATGGATGGTGGGCCCAGAAGTAAAATCTCACTCTTGCTTTAATTATTGAGTGAAGATACCATTAATAAATCCAGCTCTTTAGAGTGGATAAAAATATTTGATTAAATTAAATAACATTCATGATTTGAGTGTATATTTACTATAAATGTACATGTATTATGATTGTGTTTGTATTGTATGTATGTGCATGTATCATGTGTTGGATGTTTTATAAATGTTAAGTATATGAATGTGTTTAGCTTTGTATGTATGTAAATGTATTGTGTTCCTTTGTATTATGCTTATTGTATGTATAGTCATGCATGCATATGTGTGTACATACAAAGCATGTACATGTCCTTCTCTCTCTCTCTAACATACAAAATCATGCTCTTCGGAGTGATGATAAGATCAATATAATCACGCTCTTTGGAGTGATGATAAGATAAATATAATTACGCTCTTCTAAATAATAATTAATTTAATAAAATTGTATGATAATTATATTTATTTGTTTATATTTGTGTTATGTTTTATCTAAATGTGCATGCATAAAATCATCATATATAAGGGTTTAAATAATAATAGTAAAATAATTATGATGCTAGGAATAATATATACATGTGAGTGATAAGCATACAGTGGTGAAAACAATCTTAGGAATTTTTTTACACTAATATGCTTGTTTAAAAAAACATGGGCTATAGTATAGGGCATTTAAAATTTGTGGTAATTTTGGAGCCATTTTCTTTTTAACCATGGGCTATAGTATAGGGCATTTTTCAGAAAATGACCCATTTTGAACAATGGCCATAACTCGAAAATTGAAGCCAAAATCAAGTCAAACTTTCTACGTAGCACAAGTGTATCAATTTGTGTCAAAAAATGTAATAAAAATTGTGGTAATTTTGGAGCCATTAAAAAAAACCATAGACATTTTTCAAAAATGGCCCGCTTTAAAAAAATTTTTAGATTGAGCTGATTTTGGTTTTAAATTTTTGTGTACTGAAAATTTTTAAAACTAGTCAAAATTTGAAGCATAAACTACAGTCTATGGTTTTTTTCTCCAAAATGACCACAATTTTTTATTTATTTTTTTGATACATATTGATTTACTTATGCCATGTACAATGTTTGATGTGATTCCGACTTCAATTTTTTGAGCTATAACCATTAATGTAAAAATTAATAAATGACTCACATGTAGCATAGAAATAATTATACTTAACAGACATTTCTCCTTATTGTAGGAATAAGGAGTGACACTCACATGCTAGCACTAGCTTATGGCGGTGAACTATCATACTGGTGCATCACTAACAATGGAAGCAATGAGACACCTCAATATCCTCAACTATACAAAGTACTTGATACAGTGACTCAAGGAGCTGATAGACCTAGTATCCAGTCAGTGGGTAGTATTGGCATGAAGTTCTTATCAAGATACATAGAACTGGCTAAAGGATCATTGAGCATGCAGTCATGGCAGTGTGAGAGACCAGAGGAACTATTAGCAGAACTAAGGAAACAATAATGGCAATTTATGCTTATGGTAATTAATGTAATTCTTGGTTTTTTATTATTAATTATTGTGTATTAGAATGGTCAATTTATAACTTGTGAAGTGTCATCACTAAAATTGTATTTTAAAGTAGAAGCTATTGTTTTTCATGAATCTTATTAAGATAGCCACAAGAATTGTCATGTGCCCATATCATAACAATGCTCATATGCTCACTAAATATCATTATACATTCATTATTATTGTAATAGAAATAGCAATAATAGTGGCCAAGCCTTTAGGAAAAAAGCAGCATAATAAGCATAGTATAATAATGTTAAAGTTAGCAACTAAAAATAACAAAGGGGAAAGCAGCAAAGTCTTTGCTATAATATCAAACATTTAGTTATTTGACGTATATCTCGTAGAAGCTTATAGGTACATCTTCGTTACCTGGAGACTGATCGCCGCATACTCTTATTTCAATATAGTCAGTGATGCTTGTATTATTAAAGTTCCTATAGAACCAGGGCTGACTAGGAATTGCTGAACAGCAAGCTGCCTCCAAACTACCGCATCCCTGTCCATCCCATAATGGATCGTTTGTGTACATTGTTCCATAAACGTTTGCATTGGGATTACCAGACTCACAGTAGTAGTTGCTGCCAACAAAAAGACGGTACGGTTTGTGTGCTCCCAGTACTACAGGGGCAGTTGTATCCTCCGCCATCAGTGTGAGACTCTCTCGAGCCAGATGCTAGTGTCCACACGTGAGTACGAGGAGATCCATAAGTTATACTGACTCCCTCAACGTAATAGCTGTTGAGACCACCACCTCCGCGAAATCCATCAGTTGTAGCGTACTGGTAGCCAACAACTCTGCCACATATCTCAGAGTAGCTGAGAACATTTGGTGGGATTTGCTGTGAGACACAACTAGCCGAGTTACCAGGCCTGCCACAAGCTCTTATTGAACCTTTAGTGTATTGACTAAAGCCAGAAGGACAGCTAGTTGTTGCATCGCTCATATCAAAATAACCCATTCTCGTCCAGCCTCCAGTTGTATTACAAAGATTGTCCATATTACAATACACAGTTTCACTGTTGATGTGATAATAGCCAGTAGGACTATCAGGCTGGGCCATGTAGATATCCTTGCACGTTATATGCTGGAGCGTGTTCAATAGTTGCGATGCATTTTGTATGGCAGATATACCATTGACCAATAGCAGGATGTCATCGATGACCCCTGCACTAGTGGTACTGGTGCTTTTAAGAGTTGAGAGTGTACCAACTATATTTACCAGCCTCTGTGTCATTGAGTCTGTTAGCTGGCTGATAGCATCACTGTTATTAACAGCATACATCAACTGAGAGTTCACTATAGTAGATATATCTTGCAGTGCTGTAACCAGCTGAGACAATTGGACAGAGCTGAGAGTAGACAGAGTGTTCCTCAGCTCACCAATAGCATCACTGTTATTAGCAGCATATCTTAGCTGAGAGTTAACCATGTCAGACACATCTTGGAGGGACTTTGTTAGCTGAGCAAATTGATCAGAAGTGGCCATTGATGATGCATTGAGTGAGCGCTGAGTGCTATTGATCTTGCCCTCGATTGAGTTCATGAGCCTTATTATCTGAGAGTATTGGTCAGGACTACCAACACTAGAACTGCTGGTTGATGAGGAGCTGGAGGATGAATCAGAAGGACAAGTGGTCGAAGGAGCATTGAATACTTGATATGCAGTAGCAGCTCCAATAGCAAGTATGACTGCTAGGAGGAATATTATCACAAATAGAGCAACCAATACAATAGTGTGAGGTTTCCTTGATGATGGCATCCCTCCTAATTTTTGCTGCACATCAAAGCCCTTGACACTTGAATCGTCGAGCTCCATTTCGTAGAAATTTTTGTTTTCAACACCAACTTGCTCCATTTTGTCTTCTCCCTTGCAGTAAAGTGGGTGGAAATTTGAGATGTTTGGAGTAATTTAAATTTAATTCATAAAAAACAACATACAGTAGCTTAAACATTATTTATAGATTGAATACACTTTTGTTATACCTCGTGCAGATCACGACGTCTAAAAAAGAATTTATTGCATTGTCTATACTAACGATGACCAATCAATCTAGTTAAAAACTTTAAAATTTTTATAATAAAGAACATGTAGCAGCAATGTTGTAAATGAAGTAGAAAAAACAGCAAGGGAAAGTATAGGGGTAAATGTATAGAAAATAGAAAAATGTATAAAAAATAGGGAAATGTAGGGAAAAGGTAGGAACAGTGGGGGTATATAAGAAAAATAGCAGCAAGGGAAAGTATCGGGGTAAATGTATAGAAAATAGAAAAATGTATAAAAAATAGGGAAATGTAGGGAAAAGGTAGGAACAGCGCTGGGGTACATAAGAGAAATAGCAGCAAGGGAAAGTATCGGGGTAAATGTATAGAAAATAGAAAAATGTATAAAAAATAGGGAAATGTAGGGAAAAGGTAGGAACAGCGCTGGGGTGTATAAGAAAAATAGCAGCAAGGGAAAGTATAGGGGTAAATGTATAGAAAATAAAAAATGTTAAAAAATAGGGAAATGTAGGAAAAG